CCACTTTTCGATTAGACTTTTGAACAAGTCCCACAAAAATGCTCCATGAAGTAAAAGACGAGTATCTTTAACTAGTTGGACAGAAATAACCTCGTAAAGTCCTGTCATTCAAAGGATGAGAACGGAATAAATAAGTTTGAGTTATAAGCTTAACTGTCAGTATCTTCTAGAAAGGATATTCCGCATTAAAACACAGAAAACAACAAAGGATGTGCCACCTAAAAATGGTTGACCAAATTCAAACCAGTCGAGCTTAATCAGAAATCCTTGGGATGGAGAGCAACCGCTCTTGGAAAGTGAGGTCTCCGCTAACTTCCCACCAGCCCACACTCATTGAACACTTCAAAGAATCATACAACTATGTTCCACTTTTGTGGCCCAATTCTTCCACATAAGGGGATATTCCCATCTGTCCGCTGGACAAGGATTTATCTCCAATTAGGTTATTTCCATTTCATTACAGAATGTAGAACATTAACAAGTGGTCGAAAACCAGACCAAACCCAGACCGATGAGAATTGCCATGTTGGCAACTGGGTTCTGCAGTGCAGCCTCTGTCAAAGGACATTTTTCCAAGCCCGAGACCTTCATCAGCACAGCATCACGATGCACGGAGCGGCGAGAATCGTCATTAAAATGCCGTGGCAGGAAGAGCGGTCGAAGGAGGAAGAAAATAACTCCGGTTCCAGTCCACGGCAAACGATGACGCTAGAGGCAAAGGTCACACAAGTTTCGTCAGTGGACGCCACAAGTCCCTCTGAGTCAGCAACCGAAAAGAAAGTCATCAGAGAAGTGGATACTGCAGGAAGAAACTCTGCCGCAGCAAATGATGATCTGAGGGGCAGCCTTTCGACCTCCAGCGATAGTCGCGCTGTGGTTGACGTAACGGAGGCACTTCCCTCGCAACCCTCAAATTTATCAGGTAGCGATCTTCGTCCTAAAACTTGACTGATATCTCCTACGACCGTCACGGACCACATGCAGTTGACAGTAACTAACAGACGAAATTTGAATTCAAATCGAAGACGACTCCGCAGAGCACTGAATAGCTCTGATGTGTCAATAAGTAGTCCAGTCGAGTGCACTTCCCATATCAAAAGCGCAATGAAACATTCTTACAGGTGACAGGGTTCGATTTGAATGTGAAGCAAAACGTGGAGGAAGCACACAATGAAAACCCACAATCGCCATTCATCGTCAGCAGTTGGGATTACGGTAGATACTAAAAGACATTCTGCAAATGTGTTTTTGATAAAATACGTATGCTTAAGTGAGGTTGTAATATTGGCCATTAGACAGTTTAACTCCAGGGTATGTTACTCACATCCGGATGCCGGCTTTTTAATGAGCTTATTTTCGGCCGCATAAAAAACCACATTTAATGAAAAAAGTGACAGTTGATGTAATAAGAGTCCTACCCACTGATTTTCAATGTCCCCATAAATTCAATATATTTCATAGAATGCACAAACAAAATATTATTTTTTGTATTCATTTGGTAACAGAATGCGTTTTCTTCAAATTTTACACTTGAAGAAAACCTTTTCAGTTACCGAATTATTTTGAATTCGACTGAGAGTTACACTTACGCCTAAGGTATGAGGCTACGCATTGCATACTTTCCTAGGACGAAAAACGTATATTGCCTACGCTATCAAGATGAAGTCATATAGGACTCATAAAATTTGCGATGGATCTAAACCATGCTGTACGCTTCATGTGCAATATCAGTAAACAGGTAGGTACGATGTCGCATGGATAAAGATTTACGATCTTAAAATTCTCATAATTACATACCCTTTTAAAAACGATAAGGAATGCTTTCCTTGGGTAAAGAATTTGGTGAAGACATACTTTGGTACCAAAGGTATATAATAAAAAAATATTTTTCACATGCCTTCAATGAAATATTAGGGATTCTGGAAAGTGACGTCGTTTTTTAATAAATGACAAGAGAACTGTTTGCCGGAAAATACTTTATTTTAATCAGTTCTCTGATCATCAGTGCCATCAATCACCATTATCCATCTCAAAATTATTTTTATCACTTCCTTTAAAAAGGAAGCTTGCTCTGATGAAAAGAATTCTGAAGGCCTGTTTATAATATCACCTTTTCGAAAAGTTTTTTCCCGTCCAGAAAGTGCTGTAGAGATCTGAACAGATGAGGATCGGTCGACATACAATCAGGTGAATAGGGTGGATCGTATTCTGAGTCTGTCAGGCTGAGGGCGGTCCAGCGTTTTCATGCGGCAGAATGACACATTTTGATTGATTAGCGCTGGATGTTTAAGGACAAAAACTTGGCCTAAGCGATGTAATTGAAGACAGTTATTTATGCCGTTACGATCTGATCTTACTGCAGTAGTTTAAAGTGAAGTATGCCTCCCATATTTCACCAAACACAAACCACGACTTTCTTGAAGTATCTATTTTATTTCGGAGTGGGACTTGGTGTCTGACCTGCAAAAAACTATTGGATTTGCGTTTTTTTGTCATCGTAGGGAACTAACTTCTGACACTCTGATGAAGAAAGTTTCCTTCTCCTGTTTGATTAACAAACGTTTATAAATAGTGGAAAACTGGGTTTTGTTTTCTGTCGAAAGTTGATGCGAGACCCAAACTCCTAGTCTAATGACTATCCGTATCCGTTGAAGGTGCACCTCAACAGTAGACCACGACGGATTGAGGCTTCCTGATAATTCCTCAATAGATTGACGAGGATATGTCCCAGCGGTTGCGCGCAAAATGTTCTTATTCAGTTTCACTGGTCTTCCCGAACGATGGGTATCAAAAAGTTTGGAATCGTCCGATAGGAATGTTGCGAACCAATGCTGGCACTTGCGGGCATCGAAGGCATTCGAATAAACATCACAAATTGCTCTGTCGACTGCTGTTGCGTTGTTTACCCCGCAAAATACATACAGCATACAGGGACAAACATGACTGCCTCCTGGTTGTATGTTTGCTACTTCGTTAGGTTTAATTTGGATAGCAAAAGTTATGTAAAATTCGAAAACAATAACCAGCTGATTTGCAAAGACACATAATTCAGATGGGGCAAATATAAACACTCAATATATAACATTTAAATTATAATCACACAGAACAGTATTACTTCCCGCCACCCCTAATATATAAATTCGTAAGGGCAATGAAAATTGACGGGAAAGATTCATACAACACACGTATTCACATTTATTGAATGCGGTTTTTTCATGCGGCAGGAAATAAGCTCATTCAAACATCGGCATACTGGCATGAATGAAACGTTTTGGAATTAAGCGGAATTCTGACCAACTTCGGCCGAATAACCTACACAAAGCCGTCAAGATCAAAGATGACTGTGTGCGCTTACAAAATTCCGCTGATCGCAGCCTTCCGGGACATTGGATTATTGTAATGTAACGTTCATTAAGGTGCTGCCATGTGTGTGGACAGAGCACAGTAGACGTCGAATCGGAGGCACGGCCACCGAGTTTCAACAAAGAGCAAAGTCGGCTGGAGACGCGTACAGGCTTTGTTCACAACTATGCTCAGTGCTCAATAATGATCCTGGACAGCTACGTGGATATACTTCTCCTGGCACATTGTCCTAAACCATAACTCACTGTTGAGCTCTCCTCTGGGATGTCGCTGTTCGATGTCGCTTACTAAGTAATTATCAGTCGGCCAGTTCATAACTCCCAACAAAATGTGTGCAGGCGTATGAATTGCCATGGCTCTGGGATTCCACATCGAAGAGTCTGGGCCTTACTAGCAGAATGCCCTCCGAAATTCCTAACTTATGATCTGTAGTTGTGAACGCCAGGTCATTTATGAGCAGTTACCCTATTCAATAGTGCTTCAAACTACGTTTGACAGTTTTGCTCTTCTTTATATTAAGTGTGGTTTAATCATTTTAAACCGCTAGGACCTGCTCATATTCAAAAGTGACAGCTCCTTGCAGAGACATTCCGGCAGATTTTTTATTGGATAACATGACTGATGGCAGTGACTCCTCAGGTTGATGAAATAAGCCACTGGCAACGATGGTGGTCTAGTGCAATGCGTTGAAAATACACGCGGGATATAACAACCTATAAATTGTTAACACATTTTGATACGAGAGAGGGTAAAGCGTATGATGCCGTTAAATAAAAACTCGTTTCTCCGCCTGAACGCAAACACCAGGTAACAAAGCCAGCTTTCCGGACGTCCACAACATCGGATCTCCTCTATAAAGCCTCATCTCTGTCTTGAAGTACCTGAAAACTAATCACGAATTGACTTTAAACGAACTGGGACCTTAAACCTATTTTTATATTATGCCAACAGATGTACAGGAAAAACTAGCGCCGGGAATTTCATGCTCCATCTCAAGGACACCAGAAAAGGTAACAAGTGCAACTACTTCGTGATTGAAGATTTGAAACTGTGTACTTTGCCCTATTTTATAGCTCTAGCTAAACAAGACGCAAAATTATGAACTCCGCGGTTAATCATTCTTCATGCCCCGAATTTTATGACTGTTCCCTAGGGCTTCAGTACAATGCATGTAGTATAACATTTAGATAACACTGACGACACTGATGGCGGAAAGTCGACCATGCAAGGGATAGGGGTCGAAATATGTTCGACAACCTTTTCGTTTTGCACCTTCTCAGAAACCCAGCTGAATCCACTCAACAGCGTTGGACTTGAGTTATAGTACAAATAGTTTGAGCACGTTTTACCAATCCATTTTTTATGAGAAATGCTGTTTGTTACAACGCGCTATGATTTAGTCCTTCTAACCCACTATATGACTTATTGATTTCTTGGGTAGTAGTGGGTCGATTCATCACAAACCAAAATAAGCGCCTGTCTACCGCATGCAGACAGAGCAGGTATTTTGTGAAATATGACCAAAAAGTAGAAAGGTGCTTTCTTCCAGGCATGTTTACATAATTGTCGCTTTCTTCTCCGACTAAAGATTCCGCACGGTGTTACCAGCGTGACTACTACCGGTTCTATTTCTACCACATGGTGGAAGGACACTAACGATCGACTCGATCGTACATCCATGTCGAACTTAGAAGCAGATTGTCGTGGGGACGGTTCTGCTGACACTCTGTGCAGCCAAAACCCCATTCTTGCCAATGTTTGTCGTAGTGAAGGTAAGCCTCGTCTGGATTTAAAACGTCGTTCTGCATTATACAGATTCTGACTTGACTTCCAATATCCATTATCGCCTCTTTCATCATTTTACCACTACACTAAACAAGTTTCAAACTTGTCGATCTT